TATATATATATATATATATATATATATATATATATATAATAAGGAAAAGCGGCTACAACCTAATTATCTATAATTATTCATATTTTAATTATAAAATTTTAAACAAAAATATTTTTTAAAATTTAATAGTAGGGAAAATGAAAGAGACTTAAATATAAAAATAATTAGCCTGTATATATAATTATTAAATTATCAAATATTATTTTATTTAATTAATTTTATATTTTATTTTAGTTAAATTTGGTTTTAAATATAAAAATTGTATTATTATTATTTTATACATTTTTATTTTATTATTTTATTATTAAATTTCTAAAAAATTTTGTTTATTTTGTAATAATTAATTTTTTATAATGCAAAGAAAATATATAAAAAATATGGTAGATCGAGGCCATAATAGGTATTTATATACCCCTCAAATTTCACAGCTAGACAACGAACCAAACAGAATAAGGATACACTCAGTTTAAGTGAAGAGCTCGGATCTAGAGAAGAAATGACAGCTAATTGATATGAGCCTCCCCCCCCACTCACTTGGCCCTTTAGACAGCTCCATTAGACTTTTGATGAGCTTCCAATTTGGATTTGCATATGACAGCTATACTACATAATTATGTATATCTCTAAATACCTTTCTCCATATATATTCATATGCTTAGCCAGAGCTGCAGAGGCTGACACATTCGCTTTGTGGAGGCCATCTATCAAGTGGTTCGCACGGTATCATTAACAAGCTTTATTGACAACGGATATATGCATGGCTATATGGCGCTGGAAAAGTCAGTTTCCCAGCCGCCGCACATCCTTGAGCATCATATCCTTCACAGGCATCACCCCCATCGGTAAATCACGTTAATAAGCCGGTAATGAATATTGGGGTACTGCATACTCCCTCGCCCGCTTCTCGCATGTTTGGCACACATTCGCACTGCGAAAAGTCTCCTCCCCGCTCTCTCTCTGGCCTTCTCTCTCTCTCTCCCTCTCGCTGACCCTGTTCTGTATGCCATTCCATGCGAACCGGAAGGAAACATTTGCCCCTTGTCTAACAGCGCTAAGCACGCGGCTCTGAGGGTCGTTTGCGTGTTGTGTGCGGGGGCGTAGTTACCCTTGCGAAAAAAATCTGAAGAAGGGAAAGAGGAAGAGCTATTTCAAGACAGTTAGTGTTTAGCTACCCTGTAAGTTGTAAAAGTGAAATATGTTGCTCTCTCAATTTGTATTTTAATATTTGCATAACATTTATATTCATACTTGACTCTTTGGCTAGTTATGAACTAAAGGAATATATTATACTCTTGCTTATATAGAATAGTCCCAAGTAACTCGGTTAATATAAGACCTATATAGTACAAACTTTGTATTCAGCAATGTCTGAGTTAGTCTCTCGCGAATAAATCAAAAACTTCTTTACGTAAGGATATGGTAATCGGTTATTCGTAAATATTTCCGGTAAATGGAATTAACAAATAGCAAAAGATCCCAAATGTATCTTTTAAAATTTAAAATAAAAAAAAATAAGATTTGTATATAACTCACATTTAATATATATAATATTATAATAATATTATATTTTTATATATATTAAAAAACATTAAATATTTGAAAGCTAACTCAAGACAAATACTTTTAAAAGTCCAACACTTGCCAGCCTATCAAATATCAAGAACTTTGCTCCTATAGTGCCCAAGTTCACTGGGACAGTCCCATGGAACTAGGCTAATCTAGTAGCTGCGCCACTGAAATTTGCTATGCAGCTTGATTGAAACTCCCCAAGCACATGCCACATACTCCACGGCGTAAAAGACTTCCATTTCTCACTGTCATACACAAATCCACAACTTTATCATGCACCTCTGCACGCCGTTTCGACGGTATAAAAAGCTCCGGGCATATTTCACTTTACCAGTTGTTTAATAAGGCATGCGAAAACATTTTTGCTCGACATTTGTCCATTTGGAAAAGCAGCTCCCAAATCAGCCAGGCATTGTTGATGGGGGGGTCTCGCCTTTGGCTTTATCATCATTTGTATCCATTATGAGGCGCTGGTTTTGGTTTAGGTGTTCCTTCACATCATCAACATCAACATGATCATCATCATTGTCAGCATCATCAGCTGGCCAAATATGTCTAGTGCTCGCTTCTTCATTTGTCAAAGTTACGCGCGCAACAAATCTAAAGACTTGCAACGCTTTTCCAAATGTCTTCGACGCTCACATGCCACAATTGTAGCAGTGAGTGCGAGGGAGAGAGGGAGAGCGGGAGTGGTTGCTGCATGCCAGGCGAAGGCCAACACTTAACTTTAATAGAGCAGCTCAAGGGGAAGAGGGGCATGAGCTGGCTGCTTGCCACAAGGAATAGCTGCGGCTGCTAATGCGTCGCCAAACAGCCAAAGAGACGTCAAAACATGCAGGTGAGACAACAACAACAACAACAACAACTACTACTACTACTTCTACTACTACAACAACAAAGTGCAGTTGCTGCTCCACTTGGCTGTCGCTGCGGCAAGCAGCCAAGCAGACTTTCAAACGCCGCACAGTGGTGCAAAACTATGGTGATTTTTGTTGATAAAGGCTGACTGAATAAAGCAAAAGCTAAAATGTGAATAAAAGCTTAAATTATATTTAAATATTATTTAAATATAGCTTGAGTCCTGCTGAAGCCGAAATTAAAGTAATTTATTACCTATACTAAAGAAATAATAAAAAAAATAAAATAATAAAAAAAATGCCTTAAATAGTCCTTGATATCCTTTGCCTATAAATGGTTTTTTGTTCACTATTTTTTTTTTTTTTTTTTTTTTTTTTTTTTTTTTTTTTTTTTTAAAAAA